CTGGTCCAGCACAGCTGCTTCTGTTGAAGAGGGGTGGACGTGTGGGCGTGTGTGACTTCCTGCCCACATTTCCTTTCTTTGTTAATTTTTATTGGAGTATAGTTGATTTACAATGTTGTATTAGTTTCGGATGTACCACACATTCTTCCTTGAAGTTTTAAACCTGGAGTCTCTTTGCCTTTCAGAACCACAATGGCCCCCAGCACGTTTGCTGTGTGCCTGTGTGGATCATCATTCAAGATGTGCTTTTGGCAAGGCAGGAAAGCAGTCAGGGCCAAGTGGTGGCTTTGACCTTCCCAGAGCAAAACCGGGAAGGAGAAGACAGCCAAGGGCTGCGTTGGCATTGGGCTGACTTGCCCAGTAGTCCATGAGCATATGTACATCCCCACCAGTGGGAACGGTAACGTGCCCCTGATGCTGGGGCCCAGGTGGTGACTGGGGGGGATGCAGGGGCTGGGGCTTAGGAAGGAGATGGGGATGTTTCTTCTGGGTTAAGATGAGCGCTTCCTCAGTATCTCTCCCAGCCCCTGTGCTAACAGGTGAACCTAGAAAACCAATGGTCGGGAACGCGTAGCCTTGGGAATTGGTGTTGAAAGGCAGCTGCAGCCAGGAGTATAGGAAGGAGGTGCTATCACATTGTAGGGATTTTAAAAAGATGGCGATTTGGATAATTTACTTAGGTGATCTTCAAGATATTGTCTAGCCTTGAGAAAATGAAAGAATTTTAGTTACATCATCTTTTGACTCCATGCCTCCCTAAATCCATTACCTGGGGAAGCACAGTTCAGAAAGAAAGTTACCCCAAAACTCACAACATGAGAAAGATATGCAACCCAGGGACCACCCATCAATGAATAATTCATATTTAAGCAGTTTAGCCTATTATTATGGGGAGAATCAAATCATGTGAACATTTAATCAGCATCTTTTTAGTGGTACTCTGGGTTCATTTTGCATGTTGGCTGGGGTATGACGTGATTCCATTGTTTTTGTATGGATTTGTAAGTACTTTTTTCTTTCCTTTTTAAATATAGAACTTAAAGGACTTCAGACTCAGACATGGCTAAAGAAGAACCTGTGGAATCAGATATACCTGGATTTGAATTTGGGGTGAGAAGTTAATATTCAGATTATCTGTTTCCTCATTGTAAAATTGGGGTTAAATATGAACCCATAGGGGTGGCTTGAGAATGATGGCTAGAACCCATTACAGGAAAGGGGCCGACGCGTCACAGGCGCTCAGACCTGCCTGTCTCCTTTGCCTCTCTATTCCGGCTAAGATGCAGAGGGTGGGTTCGTGGGGGCTGTGTTCCATTGTGGTCCAGGAATAGCTTCACCACATCCAGCTACCACAGGGGACTCGGGCGGGTGAATGGGCAGCAGCCTGGCTTCCTGCTGCCAAAAGACAAAGACTGCAGATCCTGAAAAAATCTGGGTTGTGCTTGCAGAGTGTAGAAGACTCAGAAGATGACGAAGCCTCTAAGGAAGCTATTTTTGCGTGGCTTCCTGCTGAGAGACGGGCTTTGGGGAAGGTTTATTTCAGGCCCATTGTAGCTCCCCACCTGTCTCCCGCATTCCTTCTGCTGTTTACCCCCATCTGCCGGGCCAGAATGAAAGACACTCCTTCCTCAGAGGCACAGACGGCATTGGTGGCCTTTTGTCCGGGCACACACGCACACTCAGGACACCACTGTGATTTGGGAGAAGAGAAAGGAACAGAAGCGAAATAGGGCTTCTTCTTAAAGAAGGGAAATGCTGTTTTCACTTCCGGCGTGTGTTTCTTTGTTGTTCCTCCTGGAGTCAGCTTCTCTTTAACATGACCTCCTGGTATGGGAATTGTTGGGACAGTAATAAGCACCTCACACCTAAGGCTTAAGACATCAGCTTGTTGCTTCGTTTATTTGTGAATCTGCCGCCAGGGCTGGACTCTGCCGGGGCAGCATCGGCTGAGGCAGAGTGAAGGCCCCATAGGTGTGACTCTGGCTGCTGCTGCGGTTGCTCAGTTATGAGTCAACAAAGTTTGACTCTTTGTGACCCCATGGGCTGCAGCATGCCAGGCTTCCCTGTCCTTTGCTCAAACTCTTGTCCACTGAGTCGGTGATGCCATCCAACCATCTCATCCTCTGTCACCCCCTTCTCCTCCTGCCCTCAGTCTTTCCCAGCGTCAGGGTCTTTTCCAATGAGTCGTCGGCTCTTCGCATTAGGTGGCCCAAGTATTGGAACTTCAGCTTCAGCATCGGTCCTTCCAGTGAATAGTCGGGGTTGATTGACGGCTGGGATCCTCTCAGAGGTTCACTCCAGCACATGTCTGCCATTTCTGTTGGTTGAACACCCGCAGGTGGTGTCTCCACATGGCCACTTGGCTCCCTCAGAGCATGTATGCTAACTGGCTTCCAACAGGACAAGCCCTACCCGAGGGACTGGGCAGAAGTTGAATTGCATTTTCTTACCTAACCTCAGGAGTCACTCACCATCACTTCTGCTCTTGTCACAGGACTGGCTAGATGTGCAGGGAAGCAACATTGGCCTTGCCCCTCAGAACAAAGGCCTCGCCTCTCAGGAGTGTTAGCATGATACGGTAAAACTGGTGACCTTGTCATGGCCACCTGAAAAAGAACTGTTTGTCACAGGGGCATGGAACTGGGCGAGGAGTGGAGGCATATGCTTGCTGTTGGAGAGTTAAGGAGACTCAGAGCTATTTTTATTTTAGAAATATAACTTTAAAAAACTGGAATATAGGCATACCTCATTTGACTGCACTTTTCTTTACTGTGCTTTGCTTATATTGCATTTTTTTTTTTTTTTTAACAAACTGAAGGCTTGTGGCAGCCCTGTGTTGAGCAAGTCTGTCAAGCGCCATTTTTACAACAGTATTTGTTCACTTCATGTCTCTGTCACAGTTTGGTCATTCTTGAAATATTGTGAACTTTTTCATTATTATTATATTTGGTATGGTAATCTGTGATCAGTGATCTTTGATGTTACTGCTGTAATTGAAGTGTCACAAACCACGTCCTTACAGGTCGGTGGTGGTGGTGGTGCTGGTTAGTCGCTCAGTTGTGTCTGACTCTTTGTGACCCCATGCACTATAGCCAATGGGAAGAATACTGGAGTGGGTTGCCATTCCCTTCTCCAGGGGATCTTCCACACCCAGGGATCAAACCTGGGCCTCCTGCTTTGCATGCGAACCATACAAGTTGGTCAACTTTGATAAATGGTGTGTGTGCGCTGACTGCTCCGCCAAACTGCCATTCCCTGTCTCTCTCCCTCTTCTAGGGCCTCTCTATTCCCTGGGACACAACAATATTGAAATCAGGCCCATTAAGAACCCTTTAGTGGCCTGTAAGTGTTTATGTGAAAAGTTACGCCTCTCCTTTTAAATCAAAAGCTAGAAATGATCAAACTTAGGTAGGCACATCAAAAGCCAAGGTAGTCCGAAAGGTAGGCCTTTCGCACCAGCTAGCCAAATTGTGAATGCAAAGGGAAGGGTCTTGAAGGAAAATGAAAAGTGCTACTCCAGCGAACACCCAAATGATAAGAGAGTGAAAAGAACGTTATTAAGGATGTGGAGAAAGTTGTAGTGGTCTGGACAGACGAGCAAACAGCTACAGCATTCCCTTCAGCCAGAGTCTGTTCCAGAGCGAGGCCCTGACTCTCTTCAATTCTATAAAGATGAGGGAGGTGTGGCAGGCTGCAGAAGAGAAGTCTGAAGCCAGCAGAGGTTGGTTCACGAGGCTGAAGAAAAGACGCGTCTCCATGGCATAAAAGTGCACGGTGAGACAGCAAGGGCCACAGAAGCTGCAGCAGGTCGTCCAGCAGATCTGAGAGCCAGAAGGTACAAGGTAAATTCGTGCTGGAAGGCTTCCTGTCGCAGAGCCTCTGTTGTGCTGATGTCTCAGTGCTTCATCACAGGAGGCATGGGGAACACACAGAGGCCTGAAGAACAGCACATGAGGTGGAGGAAGATGAGGTGATATGGCCTACATAAAACGAGCCTAGCAAGGATTTGACAGACTGAAAGCTTTCATCTCCAGTTGAAACACTTTTGATAATTTTTATTGTTGTTGTTCATTTCTGGATCAAAAACTTGATTCTAGAGCGAGCTGTGAATCTGCAAACCAGGCTGTGGAGTGATCCTGTGATTATAAAGAATAATCTTAGAAAAGTATTTATAGGGATCAAACAAGATGAGGTCATTAATTTGCTTTTCCTTTTATTATAAAAGTAAAATAAAAAATAGCATTTATAAATCCAACATTTTTTTCCTTTAAAAGTATTTGATCTAAAAAAACATATTTACAATAGCAAAATGCAGAAAAGGGAGGAAATACCATTTTCAGCATTGATTGTAATCATGTTTAAATATTGACATGTACATGTTCCTTTCTCAAATCACATTAGAAAAAGCATTGAGCTTTTTTTTTTCCTTTTTCTTGCCACCTGGCTTGTAGAATCTTATCAATAGTTCCCCAAGAAGGGATGGAACCCGTGCCCCCTGCAGTGGAAGCTCCAGGTACTAACCACTGGGCCCCCCAGGGAAGTTCTCAAAAGACTCAGGGAAATGAGTCTTTGTATGACTTTCAAAGTCAGTCTCATTTTAAAACATCCCTTTCCATAATCCTTGATCTGAGTGCACACCTGTGCTGTGGACAGCCAGAAGGAGGGCCAGGTGGGGGTGTGACAGCTTGTAATGAGAGCGGGCAAGCAGCAGAGGGGCAGCAGCAATGCCGACAGAAAGCAGCTGGTAAAGCTCAACAAGCTACCGCGCTCCCAGCGGGGCACCAGCCCAGCCGCAGGCTGTGACTGTGGATGCTATCGTCAACTAAAATTCATTTCAGAACCAAAGAAGAAATCCACGTTTAAAAGGCCTGGAACTACACCCAGAGTGAGCCAGGCCGGCCTGTGTTCCTCGGAGCACCCTCGAGTGCAGCTCCTTCCTCTGGGCGACACGGTGGAGTTTCCGAGCTTTGGTGTCCTCGGTATCGGAAACTGCCAGCGGGCTAAATTTTGCCTTCTATAGGTCCTTCCTGCCCGTAGTCATGGGGCACTTTGTTAAGAGTTAGCAAGGAGGTGCCGCTGGTCAGAGACTCCGTGAAGCTGAGTTTGCGGAAGGAGGTCTCTACACCGCTGTCACAGATGCTGTCGTCCCGGGGCTCGTCTGCGGAGAGAAAGTGCGGGTCACGGGGCTGCACCCCGACATGGCCATGGCTGGCTGCAGGGTGCCCCCACCCCGCGGGGCTCCTGTGCGTCAGGCAGGCTCGCGGGCTGCGTCTGCCGGCGGCCTCCGCTCATCCCCGCAGCCCACACAGTGGGGTGGGGACAGAAAACACCAGACTTAGCCAAGTGTTTTCACCTCTCTTTCTTACAGTCTAGCCTTGTGTTTGTCAGAATCCTTTCTGAATTCTCTTGACTCAAAGTGTACTTTTTTCTTAGAAATCAGGCGTATTTTTCCACCCACTCCCTATTGTATAGCAGAAGAAATTGCTGAATGTAAGCAAAATAAATTGGTGACAGAAGTAGGAACTAAAAATGAGCTCTTTGGGCTACACATGCTATTCAACACCATATACTGCCTCAAGAACATTTTCGTAGCAAAAAAAAAAAGTGAAAATGCATTTCTACTAGGCAGTTAGGTCCGGTTTTCCTTTGAGAAGTGTCTCTAGGGAGCTGAAGAGTATGAATGATTTCCCGTAGAGAGAGAGGGACCAAGGAAAACAGAAGTTTACCATACCCGAGTCAGAGAGCTCTTTCTTGTATGTTAAATTCCAGTGCTGAAATAGTAAGACCTTCATGGCAGTGACATGGCTATGCTTACTGACGGATTTATTCAACCGATCAGTCTTTATGGGTTTCTGTTATGTGCTAGGAACTGTGAGGTATTTTAAAAATAACTATAAAATGAGGGCTTGATGCTTTTTAAAATAGAAGTATTTACCTACTTCTTAGTGTGGAAGGAGCATCAGGTCATGAGACAGGAGATGAGGGTGGTTTTCTGGGGGTACCCTGTTCTCTTCGAAAGTGTGTGTAACACCTGTCCTCACTCCCCTAGGATGGCCACCCCGACAAGAAGACACTGGTGTTGAAATGGATGGCAAGGAGGAGCCCGCCAAGCAAGGACCTGTGCGGGGAAGGGGAAGAGAAGGCTCCCAGGCTCTGGGCCTGGATCAGTGTAGCGAGCTGGGGGAGCGGAAGGAACGCAGGGCAGGGGGTGGGAGGGGGCGTGTGAATGCCATGTAGGAAAGAGAGAACAGACAAGCCCCTGCCGCCTTCTCCTGCAACAGTGCTGGGCAGGCAGGATGCACTCAGAGGGGACGGGCTGAAGGGGTGCATGAACCGGAGGGCACACAACCAGAGGAACGTCATTTTTAAAGAGAATCATGCACTGCAGGTGGTGACAGAGTGACAGACTGGAAACTGGGAGACCAACTGGGAGCTGCTGCAGGAATGGAGGTAAGAAGTGGGGGTGGGCGTCGAGGGTGGTGGTCAGAGAGAGGAGGAGGCTGGAGGGAATGCTGCGAGGTGCTGGGACCAGGGAGGGTTCACGGCATCGTGACCTGGAGCACTGCCTTGCCCACGAGCGCCGTGGCAGTGCTGAGTCTGGGCCTGAGGGGCTCCGAGTCCTGTGCCGTGACGAGGGGGCTCTGGAGGCTGAGACCAGGTGGGGGTGGGCGTGCCATGGAGAAGTCCAGGGGGAGGGGCCTGAAGCAGGAGGTGCGGGTCACCTGTGCCCCGGGGGCAGCTGAGCGGGGTGGTGAGCAGATCTGAGCGGACACTGGGCCTCATGGCGGGAGGAGTCCTGGCGCAGGGGCTGACCACAGAGGGTCAAGGAAGGACGTCATGAGGGGTGAGGAATAGCTTCAGGCTTCTAGGAGGCTTGGCTGAATTAGAGAAATTGGGCTGCAGCTAAAGGGGGTGGGGGATCAAGGGATGTTTGTTTTCTGTTATTCTGAAAAGATGAGGGGAACCACACTCTGCTTGCTGGGGGATCCAGTCGGGAAGGGAGAAAAGGCTGACCTGTGAGAGGCGAGAATCAGAGGAGCGTCTGGACCAGTGAGAGGTGGGCTGGGGGGCTTGCTGGTGCAGAATGAGGGTTCCAGCTCTTTCTATGTTCTCAGCGCAATGAGGCGAGGACATTGGGTGAGAGTAAGGGGCAGGAAGGGGCGCTGGCGGTTTCGGAGGAGAAGCTGAGACGGAGGTTTTGGGAGATGGAGGACTCGTGCTTACGTGTCTAGGCGGGGTGACAGGTCAGCGTTGTGGAGGCTGAGCAGCTGATGGGAACGTCGGGGCATCAGCCCACAGTCGGGCGCTTAGTCCTGGTTCCACAGACATTGGTCTGCTCACCCCTCTCATAAATTTAAGCGGTGAGAGTGATCAGGCTTACCTTCACCACCCGTATCATGTTGCTTTTGTTGTCGCGGACCTCAGTAATGCGTGTGTCAAGGTGCCTGTGCTGGGGACAGCCCCTCCCTGAGCAGTAGCGGCGGGAGGGGAGGATAACAGCACCTGGGGTCCAAGAGGGACACGGATGCAGGGACCGTGTGTTCAGGATTGATGGTGGGGAGGACAGGCCACAGCCCCGGAGACTGGAGGCATGTCTCAGCTTCTTTTTGTCTGTTTTTCCGTACCTATCTGTGGCCTTTTGGAGGCGGGGGAGAACGGCAGCGAGTGGGCTTGGGAGGCGGTCTTGGCAGAGCTGGTGTCTGTGGTGCAGAAGGCTGCCTGGATCACGTCAATGGCCTCGGTGTAGCCCATCTGTCTCAGGGCCTCCACCAGTTCCTTTATGGTGCCCCCGGAGACCTGAGAAATGAAGGAAGAGTGTGCTTCTGTGTTCCAGCCTGTGCAGGAAATAAGCAGGCTGTAAACTCGACACCACACCCCGTCCCCCTGCCAGGCTGCCTCCTCCACCGAGACGGCCAGGGGGCATGGAAGGTCTGGTGGAGAGCCTCTAAAAAAAATCAGGGAGCCTCAACATTGTCTTTGAATCAGGTTTCCTGTTTCAGCTCAGAGACCACTCAGGAAATCACAGAGAAGCACTTCATAGTGAGCAGAGAGACTGCCGAGGCAGTGACACTCTAGAGTGAAACCTGCACAGGCTCCCTGAAGCTCTGAAGACCACTGAGAGATGAGCAATGATGGAATTTTCAAAAGAAAGTAACTTCACCCCGTGGTTTTTCGGCATTTATTTTAGAAATTAAAAGCATCACCAGGTAACGGCTCTGCTAGGAGTGACCTCACAGCTGCTTCTGGGATGTGCTCATATGAGACCAAGGCCTGTGCTGGGGTAGAGGAGGGCACGAATGTGGAGCACAGTCTCCTGTTCAGGAGATCGGCGTCTGTGACCATCCTGACCCTCCAAGTAGCATTTCTGCAGCACACCTCAAAGTATCTGAATACAACCAAGGTGGGCTTCCTCCTGGCCTGGGTCACCCTCCCAGGACACGGGGAGTGACTCAGATTTCGCTGCTCAGAGTTAAGGGGGAGGGGAGGGACTGTGCTCTGGTCGGTAATGTTAACACAGTCAGATAAACACAGCCAAGGGGATCGCAAAGAGTTGGACATGACTTAGCGACTGAACGACAATGACAATGTAAGGTGACACATTACCTCGTAGTTGTCCATGAGGGTTTTGGAAGGAGCAGGACTCAGCCGGAAGGCGTTGTTCAGTATCCCCAGACCTAATTTCTGTGCCAGAGTAGCCCAGTTTTTGTCTGGATCAGGAATTTCTAGCAACTTGTAGAGCTGCAGCTTTGCATCTTCAGTCAGCTGTTTCATGTCTCCTAAAGGAGATAAAGAAGAAACATGACCATCCTAACTGATCAGAAACTCTCCAGAGGGACTGGTCACTGCCACACGGCTCCGCCTCCCACCCCGGGGAAGGAGTCGCGCTCTTGCACCAGAGTCAGCAGCCACCCAGGTGAGTAAGAACAGCCCACGCTGTGGTAGATCACAGCTGGACCTTCTCCGTGGCAGGACCCCCCTGCTCCTGAGAGAAGCCCCCGCCTTTCACAGCAGAGTCTGGGTAATGCCAGCTCTCCCTCAGCCCCTTTCAGGGTCAGGATGGAGGTGACGCTGGCTCGGGGCACCTGGTTCTCCCACAGCTTACCTTGTGCCAGCAAATCATCAGATGTAAACTCTGGCTCATAGGGTTTCCCATTTAATATGTCAAACACCTGTTGGGAAGAAAAGTGCGGGGATGTTACAGGGACCACCAGAGAAATCTGGTGCTTTGTGGTAAGGAACTCAGCCCGTCCTCCTCAGGAGGGGCTCGTACCCCTAAGGTGGAGTGGGAGGAGAAGTCGGTACCCTGGCCTGCAGATGTGGCTGCCCTCTGGGGCTCTGGGCCCAGGAGGCTGTGCCCCACAAGTGCTGTCTGAGTCACATAGCAAGACCCCACCCAGCCTCACAGAGAGCCAGGCCACAGCCCTTCTGAGGGACAAAGGTGGCCCAGGCCACCCAGGCAGCCACGTGCTGGTCAGAGTTGATGGTAAATGACGTTTCCCTGAGAGTCAGGGCAAGGACTGAACCCACGCCACGCTGTGAAGCTGTGCTCCCTGGCTGCCCCTCCTCCCTGGCAAAAAGGCTCATAAGAATGAGTTTTTTGAGCTTGCTCACACTGAGGTGTACAAATGCTCACAAGGCTTGAGGATAGCCTCTTGGCACCATCCACCTTTTAACTGAGGGGCCAAAAAAGTCTTAGGATAAAAGAAAAGAAAACAGATAACTAATAGGAACCTGCTGTAGGGACAGAGAAATGTAGTCAATACTCTGTAATGACCCATATGGGGAAAGAATCTAAAAAAGAGTGGACATACGTGTAACAGACTCAGTTTGCTGAAACTAACACAACACTGTATATCAGCTATAGCCCCAATAAAAGTTAAAGGAAAAAGAAACTCCCATAGCTCTGGAGGCTTTTCTGCATTCTCTGCAGTGGTTGCTGGCTGACCTGGGTGAGGACCCCACGGGGTCACCAAGTGGCTTATTTTTGTGTTCTGTGGTAAGGCTTCTGGGAACACCAGGCGCTCGGCGTGGAGTGCCGTGTGGTCTCTGCCAGGGTCACACGGGCCCTGAGCAGCGCCCGCCCCTCAGGGGTTTAGTTAGTTGGGCTGGGGCTGTGTGCTGCCCACCTCCTCCTGTGGCTTCCCCTCCCTGGGCCCAAGGACCTGGTAACCGCTTTCACCTTTAGCTCTTGGGTCAGCAGAGTTCTGAGGAAGACTTTAAGTCTGTTCTGTTTACACTGATGAAAATCCTCAGAAGAATCCCCATTTCTTCTCAGGTTCAGCAGTTACTTACCGAAGTTCAGGCAAACCATGGCATGTATCCTGGCTTCAGAAACTCAGATGGGAAGGATTCTGATGTGAGTTCTAATGGGCAACACGCTTTGTGAATTCTAAGTTTCTGTCATCTCACTCTGATCTGATTAGGCGTACGCTTTTATGTTCAGAACTCTGCTGACCTAGATCTTTAGCGGATAGGCTTTTCAAGATAAATACAGCTCGTGACAAGCAGCCTGTCTTTAAAAACACCAGGTGCGGGCTTCGGGGAGTAAAGACTGAGGAAGACCACTTGCCGCCTCAGAGGCAGCCAGCACGCTGGCGGAGCGGCACTCACCTGCCAGCTGGTGGCCATGTCCAGAGGAGTGGTTCCCGGTACGACCCCTTCGTCCTCTCCATCCTCATCCCAGGAGTCATCCAGCTCGTACAGAGGCTCGAAGTTCTCCACCAGGGGATCTGCTCCTGCGGAGCCAAGTCACACAGCATTAGGTAAAACCCACATCTTCTCAGCTCCTAACTGCCTGCAGAGACCAGATTCTATAAATATATAAAACGCATTTCCACTGAAATACCCAGAAACCTGCTTTTAAATTCTAATATATCTTGACTGTAAAGGTGACCAATGATACCTCTGTATAGCCAAGGACACTTTCAAAAACAAAGACTTGGACTGACTCTCACATTTGACTCTATAGGATGGTTGTCAGTGAGCGATGCACCTTTGACCTGAGGACTAATGGCGGCAGTTTTCAGGGCCTACCTGGTGCAGGAGATGCAGGTTCGATCCCTGGGTCAGGAAGATGGAGAAGGAGATGGCAGGAGAAGGAAATGGCAACCCACTCCCGTTTTCTTGCCTGGGAAATCCCACATACAGAGGAGCCTGGTGGGCTCTAGTCCATGAGGTCAGAGTCGGGCATGACTTAGCGACTAAACAACAAGGGTGTACCCTTAGGATTAAGGTCCTATCTGTTCAACTTGATGCCTAGCACCTCATTTTTCTCAGTGTCCTCACCTGCGTGCTCAAAACAGCAAAGCTGTTTTCTGTCTAGTGCCAACCTGTTCTGCTTTATTCCTGGGATATGGCACTGATCCTTAAATGCAAAACACTAAGAAAACCTGCTGGTAGGATGCATAGTTATTGAAAGGTTATAGCTTCTAGTCTGAAGGCATTTCATAATCATAACCAGTGACTCCCCAAACTAATCATAAACACTGCAATCACCATCTCTTGTTCACCATCTCTTGTTCATGGTAATGTTCAACTTAACAAAGAAGAAAAGAGAAGGCTGCTGCTTATTTGGGATATGATGTCAGAAAAATGTGGTGCCAAAGAAAAGGTTCTTATATTTTCATGGTCTGAGTTGTTTTTTTTTTTTTTTAAGAAGGTATTTAATCTGCTATTTTCTTGAATTTGTGAGGCATTTATTTTCTAAAAACAATTTAATAACCTTATAAGTAAATCAAGTATGCCAGGACAGGCTTGAGATGCCAGTTACATTAAACATGTTTGAGGTTCTAAATGTATAAGGCAGTGGAGATTCAAGGATGAGCAGGAATAATTTTCCTATATTTCACAGGATGAAAGGGTTGAATCAGAATAACAGTCTACATCCTTGAGCAAAGCAGGGAAGAGAAACATAGAAGAGTCTGGAAGTTGAAGGTGACAAGGTGTGACTCAAGCTCTGCCCCTTACTGGGGCCCGGGAACTGGGATACAAAAGTCTCACCAGTCTGTTTCCTTGGCTATAAAATGGGAGTAGTAATGGGATTTGTCTCAAAAGGTTACTGCAGATTAAGTAAGATTAAATGAGACAGTGTGAACTATCTAGCCCAACAGAAGCTAGCAATTTTCAGGGTTTGGTGCATGACAGTACTTACTCACACTGGGCCCATGTGTTTGTTCCTATCATTTTGGCTTCTCAGAGATCTTTCTTACAAAAGGAAGTCTTTAAATGCTTTATTATACCAATAAACTTTTCCTTCTGAGGACCTGTGATGGGACCTTACGCTGATACTGCTCTGAATTCTACAAGGAATTCAGTTCAACCTTAAGATCTCCTGTCATGGGACTCAACTTAATCCAAATCCAAAACAGGTGAGTAAAGACTAACATGACCATCAGCGTGGCACCCAGGATTACTAATACAAACAGAGCCTTTGTGGCTGCTAAGTGGGATTCACAGCAAACTTTTTATTTGTGCCTTTCTGCAGCACGTCTGTAGGTTAAGGAGGTGGCCTGGCTGCTCGACTGAGTCTGGGTTTGCCTTCCTGATGACATTTTCTATGGCTGACCACCAGGCTGCCTTACCTGCTGCTTTGAGAAGAGCCGCCAGCCTGGTGGACCCTCTCCCGGCAGCTATGTGCAGGGGTGTAGTTCCATCATAAGTGGTGCTGTCCACGTGGGCATCACCCTAAAATCCGTCCACACAGGAAAGGGTTAGTTCAAGGTCCTCTGGCCCTTTTGTCCCCACCTCCCCTGTGTGCATGGCTCTTCAGGTCATGCTCCCAGCCCAGTTGTATTCTAGGCAGGCTCTGCCAGTGCAGAGATCCTCAGAGATGCCGGGCAGGGGAATACTGGAGGGCTTCAGCGGCTATTGAAGCCTCCAGTAGATACTACACAGGTAGAGCCAATGATAGGGAGGTGAGCTGTTAGCGAAGTTGTTCTTTGAAAAGATTTTCCCAGATGCCCTTTGGGAATTGAATGAGAAGGCAGGTAAGTGCAGCCCTCACCTCCAGGAGCAGGCAGCCAGCCAAGGAGATGTTGTCATGCTCCACGGCCAGGTGCAGCGCCGTGCGCCCCGACTTCCGCTCCTGGGCGTTGACATCGGCCCCCGCAGCCATCAGCAACAGCAGACACGGCAAACTGTTGCTCATCATGGCTACATGGATGGCATTCAGACCTACGGCCCAAGCACAGGGATGGTTATGGGGACGGGAGGCTGTTGGGGGTCAGCATGTCCCTACTCCAGTCTGTACAGGTGCTGTAAGTCAGCTGCCCTGCACGTAAACCCCACACTCCTTTTGTGTTCTCAGGAGACAGTGTGAGCACATAAACATTCTCTGAATAAAGGATGCTTTCCACGTATCAAGGGGGCTTCCCTGGTGGCTCAGATGGTAAAGAATCTGCCTGCAATGCAGGAGACCCAGGTTTGATCCCTGGGTCAGGAGAAAGGAATGATAACCCACTCCAGTATCTTGCCTAGAGAATCTGCAGCCTGGCGGGCTACAGTCCATGGGATCACAGAGAGTCAGACATGACTGAGCAGCTAATGCTTTTTCTACATATCAAGAATGGTGTTTGCTTAGGCCTCTGCTTTTCCCTCCTAGTGACTATTCCAGATCATCTTCAAAGGAATCAGCTGCAGCCAGCAATGGAAATTTCCGTAAGAGATGATGAATTCCAAGTGGTTAAGGAAAGCACTTCTGGGCACAGATCAAACACACATATTTATCTGGCAGCTACTTATTGTTGAGAAAGCAGACAGAGGTTACACCATGACGCATGATTGTCCCTTACCTTCCCCATTGGGGTGGTCAATAAGCTGTGCTGCCTTTTTGTGCTTGAGTAAAATACCGAGAATTTTATCATGTCCTTCTTTGGCAGCGAGGTGCAAAACAGAGTTACCCAAGCGGTCCAGAAGGCTCAGGTCAGCACCAGCCCGCAGCAAGTCCTCCACCACAGCTTCCTGTCTGGTGATTACTGCCAGGTGCAGGGGGGTCTAGGGGGTGAAGGAGAGGCAGATGACGACACTGGTCAGTGGCACAGACACGCTGCAATAGGTGGAATCATACTGAGGGGCCATTTCTCAGTCCCAGATGAAGTTCTCACCTCTGCAAATGAGTTACTCTCCATTCCATATCATATGCTAATGATATATATATACTGGACTGACATTTAGTTATCAAAATTACTTTTTATATTTACAATTTTTTTATTTTTAATTTTTTTTTTTTTTACAATTCTTAATAGCTTTGTTTCTTGCTACAGTCAATTGATTTTTGACGGTTAACTCTTATTAGTAAATTTAGTTTTCTTGAATTTCTAGTAGGAGTCTTAACTTTAGCTTAGACATCATGTGTTAACGAACCAAATCAACTTATGGTTTTACTGAAAAAGTTTAAACAAACTATCCAGCAGAAACCAATTGACAAAGGTACTGTCATTCTATAATAACATGGAAAAAAATTTGGTAAATTAAAAAATATTGTTCCATGGACAAGCTCCATGAGACCAATCAACAGAATTCTGCCACTACACATTATAAAAGGATTCTCGAAGGCATAATAGAACAGGAGAGCCACCTCACAAAGAAGGCTCAGATGGACAAACAAGCCAGGTCCATTTGATTATCCTGCCCACAAAGCAGCACCTCAGTGAATGCAAATGAGATGTTTTGAAAACTGCATTTTCGAGATGAGTAAGACAAACACACTCAAGAAGGTATCTTTCAAAGAACTGAGGTCACTGCCAGAACAGGAGTATATTTTTATACAAATCAGTCTTATTTCACAGCAGCCTGTGAAATCCAGCCTCTCTAATGACAGTTTGCCTAGCCTTTCCTGCTCAGTAAGCAGTTACTGGCTGTAGCAGTGACAGCAGGTGGACCACCAGCATCCTTGTTGGGCACACCAGGTGAGAATGGGATGAAAGATACCGTGCTGTGTCATTACAGTGATTATTTAATGTAACAGAAACAAAACGGGATTCTTTCCCCCAAATTTCTACTCTCTTTTTTTTTTCTACCGCCGCACCTTTTTTTTTTTTCCCATCCTTTAGAACTATAGCCTGGCTTGAACTGAATCATGTCCTTGGAACTTCTAGACATTATAGCTATGAGCCTTCCTCTCAAAAAATAAACTGTTTAGTAATCAGATATGTCATTTGGGGAGATGGGGAAAGGAAAGAGAATGAGATTGGAAAAAAGACCTGAAATCACATTATACCATTCAGAGATTTAACATTAGCTGTAGTTTTAATATAATTTTTATATCATACAAAATCTCTTACCATTAGTTAAAAAATTTATTAAGTTTTTTTTTCTCTCTCTATGGTCCCACGGAAGGTTTTCTATGATATTTTAGGCTTTAGATCCTAAACCCCAGGATTATATCTTAAGTAATTATACAATGTAGGAATCTAGGAACTTTTAATACCATGCTTGCTGGCATGTGGACTTAGGCAGACATTTCGTAGAGCCAAGTAAACAAATACCCCAGCAACCCAATTCCTGCCTGTATATCTGAGGCACACAAATCCACAAGGACACCTGAGTGAGACTTCACTGAAGTACTGTCTGTGGAGGTAGGAAGTGAGAAGCTGGCTAAGTGTCAACTGTTGGGAAATAGGTACATAATAGAGTGAAGATGTACACAATAGGATCCTCTTCAGGGGTAGAAACAATGAACTAGTTATATATACAGGTGCATGGATAAATTCCACAAACAGTGAAGGCAGAGATATCATGACGCGTAGGACAAAGCCACCTATGCAACTTAAAAATACATGCACGAAGAACTGCATGAACACACACACAAGTGCATGTAAAACTGGGCAAAACCCAAATAAGATCTGTGGATTATATCAATTTCCTGGCTTTGATACTGGACTAGAGTTATACAAGATGTTATCATTGGGGAAACTGGGTAAAGGGTACATGCAACCTCCTAGTACATTTTTTGACATAAATCATAGCAAGATTCTCTTTGACCCACCTCCCAGAATACTGGAAATAAAAATAAACAAGTGGGACCTAATTAAACTTAAAAGCTTTTGCACAGCAAAGAAACTATAAATAAGATGAAAAGACAACCCTCAGAATGGGAGAAACTAATTGCAAATGAAACAACTGACAAAGGATTAGTGTTAAAAATACACAAGCAGCTCACACAGCTCAACACCAGAAAAACAGCCCAATCAAAAAATGGGCAAAAGACCTACGCAGACATTTCTCCAAAGAAGACAAGACAGATGGCCAACAAACACATGAAAAGATGCTCCACATCACTCATTATTAGACAAATGCAAATCAAAACTACAATGAGGTACTGCCTCACACTGGTCAGAATGGCCATCATCAAAAAATCTACAAACAATAAGTGCTGGGGAGGGTGTGGAGAAAAGGGAACCCTCCTGCACTGCTGGGGGGATGTAACTGATACAGTCACTATGGAGACACATGTACTCCGATGTTCACTGCAGCACTATTTACGACAGCGAGGACACGGAAGGTAAAAGGGTGGGAGGGAGGTTCAAGAGACGGGGGACATATGCACACTTACAGATGACTCATGCTGTTGTATATGTTGCTGTGAAACCAACACAACATTCTAAAGCAATTATCCTCCAATTAAGAATAAATTTTGAAAAAGTATATTAAAATATCTGTCTACTTTAAAGTATATATGTTAAGGTAGCAAATACCTAGGGAAATACTTATAATTACTATATTTGGGAGTGGGGCTGAGAACTAGGGAGGTAACTAGGGAGGGTAACTTTTATTCTCTAATACATATCCTTATGTACTATTTTAAAACTACAAACATATCTATGATAATTAAAACAAAAAATAAAGGCACAAATCCCCCACTCATGTTTTATAGGAACATAGGCAAATAAAATTGATATAAAATAAACTAGAGTGGTGGTTTATGTTGGAGGGAGAGGAATAGGAGAAGAGAAAATAGTTTAAAAGGAATAGATTTCAGAAATATTTTCAGAAAAATCTTAACCCTGTGTACTTATTTTGAGTGTGGCTTTCTCTAGAGGGTGGGTGGAAGAGAGATTTGATCACGACAGATGGCCACAGAAATGTACTAAGATTAGTGAAAGGTATTTTGGGAGCATGTTTCAGACAATTGCCAAATAATCCAAATTACTTAGGGAACTGTATAATTTCCCATCAAGAATAGCTACCAGAGAACCTTTACAATAGAAAAATGGAAGCTTAAATATTAGTGGGTTTCTAGTTCTCAAATAAAAGTCGCCATTGGGTATGTGTGTGACACCTTAAAGGCCAGCCAGGGGGTCCTGAATCCTTGCCCATCAATGAAAATGATGGTAAGGGGGTGCGAGAAGTGGACCTGCATGCCCCCAAGAGTCCCCACACCAGAAGGCATGGAAGCGTCAAAGGTGGTGGTTTCAGAGTTTTGTCCCCAGCACAGTGGAGAGTCTCAGCAGTTGTACCCGAATGATACAGTGAGGAGTTTGGCACATAATAAATCACAGCTACTAAGCCTGTTGTGCAGTGTCCTTTGCAGGTCCTATTTATAAACAGAAACACAATTCCATGAATCTGACATACAGGCACTGAACTTAAGCACTCTTTGGAAGGGGGACTGATAAGTGCAAGGTCCCATTTCCAGTTTTCTTTGTACACTTGTAATGGTGAACAGTTGGTTCTAGAGCCTGAGAGACTCAGGCTTTATGGGCCAAGTGACTTTCCAAACACCAGCAACACCCAAACTGGTATGAAAATGTGAAGAAGCCATCCTTTAAATATATATACCTAAAATTAGACCTCATCCTAGTTATGAGTGAAGAATTCCCCAACTTCATTTTCCCTTTGATCTTAAGTATGACGGCCAAAGACAAGGCCTAATGCCTTAATATCCAGTGGGAAACTTATTTTCCCTTATCAGGAGACACAGATCAACTTGATCTATCTATTCACAGATAAAAATCTACTGGGAGCTACATGTAAACATTTCAGAGCAATTGCTTTTAGGAAATGACTCACATCACTGCTTTAAAAATTGAGAACTGGGACAAGCACCTTCACTGTGTAAATAACTGTACATGGTGGCTGCCTGTATTTTTAGAGGGAGGGATAGGCTTGAGTCAGGCATCTGGGCATACCATGGAGGCCAAGGAGGACTGAGAAGTCATTTTGAGTCTTGAAGGGAAAGCAAAAACAGAAAAGCGGAGAAGGGCACGGGATCAGGAGGCTGTAGAGAAGGCTGGTGGGGCTGGGAAAGGCAGCAGAAGGGAGAGTACCAGGGGAAGAGGGAGGGAGCAGACCCTACTCACCTCCTCCCAGCATGGTCCCTTTGCCTGGGAGGCTGGTCGGGGTCTGCCGGCTCCCTGCACGGGCATCCCAGCTTTGATTCCGACACCCTCAATCTCCTTTCCCCACCTGAAACCTGCGTGTACCCACCAGGCAGCCTCACTGAGTCTCCAATCGGCCCTGCTCTCTGAGATACTTGACGACCTCTGCAACAGAGTTCCTCAACCTGCTTATAAGTCTACCTAATTTCTGGGTGAATCGGAATTGGGCAAATCTCTTTAGTGTTCCCTGTTTTCTTCACCTTGAACATTATTATTGTATTTTGAATTTTCTGTTTTTTTGAAAGACACTTTTTCCTTTTCAAACAACCTTTTTGGCTTTCTGTATTCTTGACTCAGCACCCTTCATTTGATAACCATTTAATCTAGATGCTGTGAACATGTTCAGCACACTTCAAAATTCTTGTAAATCACTGGCTTTTCAAACTGAAAAGTTTTTTCAATTCTGTTTTTCTCGACAGGTGTGATGTTTTTATCCTGCAGTAGACTAAGTGCTTTGGCAAGTTTTTGAAGCTTCAAGTTTGCAGTCTCTCGGCAGGATGCTAAATTTCATTGTGGGGTGACTGCTATTATACCCATAGATCAAAGGATCCTCATTCATAAAAGAACATTCCTATGTGATATTACCTACAGAGACATGTTATTTTATTTTTGCTACTGTTAATATTATATGCTATTATTGATACACACACAAGCACATGTACACATCATGGATTTTTCTTCAGTCATCTCCTTGATATTTCTGCTTACCTGGTAGAGATCATTTCTCATGTTGATAATTTCATCAGAAATCAAGCCAGATGTGACTTCCAGGAGATCTCTCACAAGCTGATTATGAAGGTGGATGATTGCCAAGTGTAAGACACTGGAATAAAAATATAGTGGCAATAATCAGCTAAAGTGTTAATGGGGGAAAAAAAAGGAAAACAGGTTCCCACGATAGGATTAGATTTGTGAACTGAATTTGGCTCTCTAGTTTTCTTTGGCGCGCGAATGTCTGGAATCTACGAAACATCCTGAATCCAAGGTGAATGTGCTCTACCACCTGCTCACTTACAGAGCCTGCCTGGTCTCTGGGGGCTCAATTCAGACTCCCTGACGTGTAAAGGAGCCTGGACTTTGAGGCAGAGATGTCTCCAAGTTCAAATCCTAGCCCTGCCTCTGTGCTATGGTTTCAGGGCATTTTCTCCTCTAACGTTTCCCTGACTTACCTGGACACACACAGATGATATGAGTTAAATTCCTGAACTAGGATTTGTTCAGAAAAATGTAGTTATCTCACCTAGCCCTGCCACCTCTTCCAAAATACAAGGTGGTGGCTTTTTAAGATCTTTCTAGATCCCAAGAGGGGAGAGTGGAGTTAGGCTCTTAACTACAGGAAGAAGACTTGAAGCAAACTTCTAGAGGAAAAATGTGGTTGTATTTCTCCCCTGAATTCTTTCCTCTGCCTGGAATGGTTTTGCTCTTCTTGTCTGCCTCACCAGCGCTTCATCTTTCATGCACCAGTCTAAAACTTACATCCTTGGAGAAGACTTTCTCAGTTTCCAAGGCAGAGCAAGCTGTCCCCCGCTCAAGTTTCCTGCTTGGTTGAGCAACTACAGTTTTCTGTACGTCCTCTCTCTGTCTTCTAAGCCTCTTGGAAGCTGGTTCTCTCTGGGTCAGCCTTACAGCCCTGGCACACAATTGAGGCACTAAAATAAGGATGACCTAACAAACAGGGCTTACAATAATGAGGCTGAAAATATTGGCAGGTGCCAAGCGTCACTCCTAGGAACAAAATTTTTTTAATTGTTAAAAAAAATTTACTATTAAAATTAATTGGAAACGACACAAAAAGAACAATGAAAAATGGCTACTATTTGTTTAGAGCTTCTAATACCAGACTACACTAAGCATCTGACGTACATTATCATATTAATCATAGTCTTACAAGGTAGGTAATATTATCCTTATTCTTGGTGATGAAACTGAGACGTATAGGTATAAGAGAACTCAACCCAGATCATATATTAAATCCATGACTGTCTTGCTCCAAAGACATCCCTTAATTCCTTAAGGCCTCCTGCTGCAGGGGCACATGAGCGCTGCTCTGTGGAGTGGTGGTGAACATCCAGGAGGATGACCCCTCCGAGGTATGGACAGATCACGATGCAGAGCACACCCAGAGGATCCCATGGTGGCAGTACCTATGGGATTTGAGCATAGGCTGCATTTTCTCTAAACATAGCAGGTGTCATTTTATTCAGGCCACTTTCTTGGCAATAGCAGGTGTGTATTATGTGGGATTAACACTGACATAGGAGAGCCTGGAAAACTAGACTGTGGCATCATTATTTGAGAGAGACTTAAATGAATTATCTCAGGGTTTCCGTACTGTCTTTTGAAACCTAGGACTGAGAGAAGACTGATGAAAAGGTCCTGAAGTCTGATGCAGACATGATGTACATATACCAAGAAAAAGGTCGTACTTCAAAATCTGCCTAAAAATTTCCATGTGTAGCTCAGCATTTCATAGCAGAAGTACATTCCCCCTCCCCCATAAATTTTCACACCCTCATGGGAATTTCCCCAGTACCAGAAGTTTTTATTATTTTTTCTCATTGTATTTTCTGTGATGACTAATGGCCACAGGATTCGGATTAATAGCCGAATATAATAAGCTCAGTGAAAACAAGGGACCTGAGCTATGAAGGCTCAAAGCTATTCCTGTCTGCATTCTTATGAGGACTCTTCCTCGGTTTCCCCCAGTCTCACCTCTCTGGCCTCCAGCTGCGGCATGAGAATATTTGGGGACCTGGGAGGGGACTCTGAGGATTCACTTCCTTAGAAGTGCCTGGGCAGGGAAGGCTTCCTCCACAGCCTCTCCATATATATTCCAGGTCCTCACATATGTTCATACCTTCGCCTCCATGCCCCCACTTGGATGTGTGTGCCTGTATCCCTTTCCACAATCCTCCCTTCAGACACCCGCGGTCCCTTAGGCCCACCAGCCGGTCCCTAAGAACGTCATCTGAAATACTGCTGTCCTGTCCTGCTTAACTGCTTTCTCTTGTGGTTCTATGCTACTGGATGCTAACTGGATTATTTAATCCTGTAAAACACGTTCTGCTGCTGGTGACATTACAGACTGTGCTGGTTCCTCCCCTACTGTATAACAAGGCCAGTGGTTACACCACATCCTTGGTTACACTGCAAGGAATGAGAACAAAGGTCTCTCTTTGAAACCCCGAGGCTGGCACTTTCCTAAAGCATTTGGTTCAGTGTTTAAGAGACAGCACCCATGAGCTCTTCCAGAGAGATGGATTTCTCACTGTTGATGCTATTTTGGGGAAGGTTTTGAACAAACCACTTGACTTGGACTTGAGAGCTGCTGTCGCTTGCTATTTTTATAGGCTTTTGAGATTATTTTAGAAGTCTCAGTGAAAGGAAGAGGAGAACTGTTTTAGAAAGAAGCCAGGTATCCCGGCACATATGAGCTCTGTAACCCCAGAAGTGGGAAGCATGGTGGTGGAATGGTTGATTCCCACACCACGTGGGCGAGAGCAGTCAGAAGAGTCTGGTCCAGTCACAGACTGGTGACCATTAACACAGGCAGTAGAGAAGGAACTGTTAACTGGGAGAGAATGATGATGGCCTGTTAATCATTTTGTCATTGTTGCTCTTGAGCTATCTCTATTGGGCTTTTCCTGGAGATTACTGTTATCACAGGTATGCAGTTGGGATAATAAGCACTTTAGACATTTGGCAAGACCAAACTTTATTATGTTATTCCAATAAACAAAGTAAATATTATTATTCCAATAAACAAAATGTTTACTAGATATTATTCTAAATCTTATTCCAACAAATGAAGCAGGGCTTTTCAAAGAGTACCATTCCCCACATACATCTCGGTTTTCTAACCCAGAGTGTTGTACTCTTAGATGAGTAACCAGCTATTTTAGAACTCAACAGGTGGGAACCACAGGATAGAGAAGCAGATCACACCACTCAGCCTTACTGATGCATTCTTTTTCTTGAGGGAATGCTTCAGTTGCAGGATCCAGTGACTTTAATCAATTCGTCTCATCTCTAGCTAGCATGCACACAATTCTTTTCTCTCTTTGCCCCTTTAAAACGCCTTGTTTACAAAAGTCCTGACTTACCTGTCCCCGTTCTCATCCTGCACGGCAGTGAGATGGCGCTGGACCGCCAGCAGCATCTTCACGTCTCCTGTCACTGCGTAGTCAAAGAGGGCGTTGGCGTGCTGCTTGGCCAGCTGCATGGCCTTCTCCAGAAAGAGGTTATCTGCAAGGCAATGATCACAGTCACAGTTGAGTTTCCTGTACTTGCTCTATGGGAATGGCATGCTTGAGGCCAACACCATCAGCATCTGACCCTGAGACACATCGATTTAGTGGAAAATGCTCCTTTCAGGGGCTTCCCCAGAGTAGTGCGAGTGGCAGAATCCACCTGCCGACCCCAGGAGACACAAGTTCGATCCTTTGGCTGGGAAGATTCCCTGGAGTGGAAATGGCTATACACTCCAGTACTTTTTCCTGGAGAATCCCATGGGCAGAGGAGACTGGCAGGCTACAGTCCATGGGGTCGCGAAGAGTCGGATGAGACTGAGTGAGCATGCGTGCACACACCTGTCAGTGCTTTTGGATCATGTTCACTGCGGAAAGCACAGGTGGATGCTGGCTCACTGACAAATATAGAGGTTGATCTCAAAAAACCTGTCTACAATTATTTTGGGGGAAAGAAATTCAGAAATGTCTGTTACTTTAAGGGGAATAATCAATCTCCAAATAATGCTCACTGGATTTTGCCACAATTGTAAATAATCAATCTCTTGGGGAAATAATCCTTCACTGGAATCTTACACGACTCTCTGGTTCGGCAGGAAGTGTCAAAAATCAGTCTGCCACAGACAGACAGACTCTCTATGAGCCACTGGTGTTTCTGTATTAGGTCTTTATTTTTATCATCTGTGACTTTGTTTTACTAATTTTTATTGGGGTATAGTTGCTTTACAGCCATTGGTGTTCTTGTAAACTTTGCTTCCGGAAGGTCAGTGGGAGGAAACTTGTGGCCTGGCAGCCAAATCCTGTGTGTGGCCTGTTTTTTGACCTCCTAGCTAAGCATGGTGTGTACATTTATTTAAAAAAGAAAAAAAAACATGCAACAGAAACCCTATGTAGCCCCCAATTCTACTTATTAACTATCTCTTACAGAAAAAGTCTTCCAAGCATAATCTGGGATGACCTAGACTCGTGACACATACCCTAATGGGTTCCAAATATGCACTGTCCCTCCTAATTCTCCAAGGAAGGCAGTGACATAAAGGGAAAAGTTCTTATTTTCAGGCAAAGTTCCACCTCAGTGTGACAGTCAAGCTACAATCAGAGAAGGGAGACTGTCAAAATTATGCAAACTGCTCTCTATTGTCTGTGGTGGAAATGATTTAGATTATCTTTCCTGATACCCTAAAACTGCATGACATGACTGGAGAAGCATATGTAAACGTCTGTACTTTATACTCAGAGATAACAATGGGCAAATGGAAACCCCACTGTGAATAAAACAACCCGGCACAGACTTTTCAAAAGGCATACGGGGCTCTGAAGAGCACACGGAACCAGATGTGGATGTGTCATCTTTAGTCCTTAGGTCAACAAGATAAACCTGTCTTCTGGAAACAGGTTCTCCACCCAGACCTGACCCGGCCCTCCCCAGCCAGCACCACGCGGTCCCCCGTCCTGCACAGCTCACCCTGGAAGCTGCAGTTCTCTTCTCTTACTCCTACCGAGCACGTCAGGTTAGCCTCAGTGCCCCCCTTGCAGGACTCTCCATCTTGTTCTGTGGTTTCTGTTACTTGCTTGGAGAGATTTACAACCTCTCTGTCATCACTCTTGCCACAACTTTCAGGGTCATTTTTAGATGGTGTGTCTATGGTTCCTAAGATAAAAGCCAGAAAAAAAAAAAAATCAGCCTTTTCTCAGTAAAATCTATTCAGTTATAATTCACTGTTTCAGCAAAGGTCAGCTAAAGGTAGAGGCAGGCTTACTGCAAAGGGAAAAAAACAGTTAATTTAAAATTCCTTTTAAAAGGATCTGTTTGCCAGGATATGTTAACACCTACAATTTCACTAACTGTTGATGTTATTTTCTATTGAAATTGTGGGACCTAGCGAGCTATTTGCTCCTTTTGTTTATTTTCATTCTTATTTTCCTGAAGAAAGAAACTTTGTATAGCCTTCAGTGCAAAGACTTCAGAGCCATTCTTTGTTATTATAGTTGGTTGCCTCTTGGCTGTATAACTTCTGAGTGCAAATCATTGAGCTCTTTAACACGGTATTGCAGAGAATAAATCATAATGGGTAAAAATTGTTCAAAAAATGGTCATAAGTAAACCATTTTGAAGCTACTTTAAAGTCACTTCCAAAAAACTTTTTTAAAATTGAGGTGTAATTGACATATAACATTGTAATAATTTTAGGTATACAGGATAATGACTCACTATTTATATATGTTGCAAAATGATCATTACAATACATCTAGTTTAACATCTATCAGCATATATAGTTACAAATTCTTGTGATGAGAACTTTAAGAGCTTAAAAAACATATTTTTACATTTCTAAAAATGTACATCTTATCCTGTTTATTTGGAAAGGAGGAAAATGAAGTAAAGCTCTTCTAGGAATTACAAGGAAGTGGCATTTTAAAAATTCTTAAAAGCAGAGCAGCTATTTCCCCCCACCCAGTGCTCAAGCAGATTGTGAAGATGTGGTCTGAATTCACATTCTTCTCTGTGGGAGCTATCCTGTGCAGTTGCTGATCATCCTCATTGAGGTCCTACTATACTATCTGACAGCTACTATGAGAGCACTGAGGTTTTACAGGCAGACCTGGTTCAAATTCTGGTTCTGCCACTAACAAATATGTACCTTCAGTGAGTGAACGGTCATCTGTGAACCTTGATGTGCTCTCTCTATAAAACGGAGAAACTAATATTTTCCTTACAGTGGAATCAAGATGATTAAAACATGTAAAAGTATCTGACATGAAACAGGTGTTGAACACATGAGAAGACCTTTTTGTATTCTTTTTTCAATAGGTACACTGGAATGGTACATTGAAGAATTGATGCCTTTGATCTGTGATGCTGGAGAAGACTCCTGAGATTCCCTTGGACTGCAAGGAGATCAACCAGTCAATCTTAAGGGAAATCAGCCCTGAATACCTGTTGGAAGGACTGATGCTGAAGCTGAAACTTCAGTATTTGGTCATTTGATGCAAACAGCCGACTCATTGGAAAAGGCCCTGATGCTAGGAAAGGTTGAGGGCAGAAGAAGAGGGTGTCAGAGGATGAGATGGCTGGAAGGTATCACCAATGCAATGGACATGAACTTGGGCAAATTTTGGGAGACGATGAGGGACAGGGAAGCCTGGTGTGCTGCAGTTCATGGGGTTGCAAAGAGTCTGACACGACTGGGCAAATGAACAGCAATAACACTGGAATGGACATGTAGTACGAAGCATAAACACATGAACAACTGCTAATTAGAGGGTACATTTGATGAGGAAAGACCATGCCTATAAAATTCTAAATGTCTCAAAAGTGTAGTATTTGATAAAAAAAGAGAATAGATAAGTTTGGTGACTTAATGTTTGAACAATCAAGTCTCTCTATGCTCCTTTCTAATGTTTTTTTCTTTCCCCTGTTCACACCACATACAAAGTATAAATATAAACAGAGTATCAGGAATAGAATTTCTACTGTCCACAGGAAATACTAGTTTTGGGGAAAGAAGGTATTGTCTTAATTTATTTGCATTTATCAATTTTTTTCAAGATAATGTTGTGTAAGTAATGACTGGAAAAAAAAAAGTGCTACTTACCATGCTTCATCCCAGCGTTAGATTTAGTGGTTCCAGGATGGAAGGTAATTCCACCATACGTGGGGAATCCATAGTGGGGGAAGCCATACCCTGAAATGGCAGATGTAACAAATGAAACCTCATGACGATTTTTTAAAAAAGGCCTCAGCAAACCTCAGTGTCCCTCCGTCAGGTGAGCACAGGCTCTGGTGTGCCTGACACGTTGCTTCTGTTGTGAGTTAGTAAGACGCATCACGTCACGGGGGGGTCGTGGGATCATGAACATTCCATCCTGGCCAGGCTGACAGTCTGGCCACTTGGGCAGAAGCCAGGCTCTGGGCAGTGTGCGGGAGCTCACATCTGTCTCCCACTCCTGCATGGTGGGGAGAGCCGAATGGCGAGGGGCTGCCACCCAGACTCAGACTGGCTCACACACACAGTGGACTAACCTCTGGAGAGAAAAAACCGAGCCAAATCAAATACATATCCTGACCCCTCAACAGAAACACGCCCCCACTGGTCACTCTCATGCATGTTTTGGTGGAGGCATAAGCTGGTAAAACTCTTTGGGGTAGCAGTGGGTATCAATCATACTCTGTGACATCGTAATTTCACTTCAAAGAATTGAATTTACAGAAATAAACTGGAATAAAAGAAAAGCAATGTGGATAGAGGAGTTCAGTGCATTTTATATAAAAAAAATAGGAAACAATGTTCAAGTAAGTTATACTATGGTTTGTTCACTTGATGAAATATTATGAATCATTAAAATGATGCTTAAAAATTATGCTGATGTAAAATTTATAGAACCATGGAGAATGCTTATGTTAAACTGTTAGGAAAAAACAGTATACATAACTCTATACACAATCATGTGAGAATAATGAGTAAGTCATATGACTAAGTGGATTAAAATAATATAAACAATGAGGAACACAGCTGTGCTTGGAGAAATGTATAAATATATATTATAATGTATATACACAAAAAATTAAGTAGCTAATCTATGATGGCAGGATTTTATATATTTTCAACTTTTCTATAGTATAGCATAAATATAAAATGAAACCTTTTCAACATTTCCAAAGAATACCAAGATAACTGTATCTGCCTCCTCTGCCCCCACCAAAAAAATACGAGGTGGTATATACCAAAATGTTAAGAGGTATTCTTTGGATAACTGACTTCATGACTTTTTTTTCTTACAGGTTTTGGTATTATCTATCTACATATTCGCAAAGAGCCAGACATGGCTAAGCGACTGAACTGAACTGAACCGATCTACATATTATAAATTGAACATGTGTTTCTTTGAAAAAAAGTTTACTGGGAAATTTTTCCTTTTTTGCCATGCTGCACTGCACGCAGTTTACTCCGACCGGGGGTCAAACCCATGCCTCCTGCGGGGGAGCATGGAGTCTCAACACTGGACTGCCAGGGAAGTCCTGGGAAATTTTAATGAATATTAATATATCATGTTCAATGGATTTCCCTGGTGGTTCAGCAGTAAAGAAATCTGCCTGCCAATGCAGGAGACATGGGTTCAGTCCCTGGGTGGGGAAGATTCCCTGGAGAAGGAAATGGCAACCCCCTCCAACCCCATGGACAGAGGAGCCTGGAGGGCTACAGTCTATAGGGTCATAAAAGAGTCGGACACGACTTAGACCCTAAACAGTAACAACAATCACATTCAGTAATGTCACAAGTACTCAGTGCACAGACAAGGGAATCTAGGAGAAGGAAATCCACCCTCTCTGACGTGAAAGGACAGCCCTGGCTCATACCTGGGCCAGCACTCCCAGCGCCCCCACCTCCACCACCGCTGCCAAACATGCCCCCGCCTCCAGCTCCAGCGCCGCTACCACCGCCAAAACTGTCCGAGAAATTGGGCATCAGCTTCTGTCGTTTCCTCTGCACTTCCTCTTTATCTGCATTTAAAGGAAGAGAAACCAAAGGAGAAGAGATTGATTCAGTTCCACTACTAGCCACAGAAAGAATATTGATTCTGATGGTATTTTTAAACATCCTAAAGGGAAACAGAAAACACCCAAGGAGGAAGAGATGCCAAATTTCAAGAAGCATTATATTTATTCCAATGAATATGAAGACCAAGAACTAGCCTCAGAGAGACCACAGAACAGTACACACCCAATTCTCTCTGGAATGGATTAAGTCCCCCATGTCACTCAAGTTAGTGAGACACTAGACTGCCCATCAAAGGTGAAGATACTGAAAAAACTGAATGAGAAGAACACTACTGAGCATTTTCACATGGTCATACAGAACAACTGTTACTAAGCAGCTAACATTTATTATGCATCTACAGTGAGCTAAGTGCTGTGGATAAAGAGAAGTATGACATCATGTCCTTGCTGTCAAGAACCCGCCAATATAATTTTAAGGTTTAGGGGAAAGAGAGAGAGGACATGATAACACTATATATGTTAAATTCATGGTGCCAACTAGGGTTCCAGGAGTTTATGGGAAGACTTTGAGGGAGTACCATGAGCTGGAAATTCAGGGAAGGCTTCCAGAATCAACCTTCCATTAGGAGGGGGCAAAGGGAAGATGCTCTGGGGAGGGGATGCAGAGAGAAAGAAACAAAGAAACCAATGTATGCTGCACACTTAGGAGAACAGCAGGGCATCAGTTTAGCTGAAGTGGAAGTTTTCTATCATGGATTGGTGAGAATCGGGGCTGAATGGGACCACACTGTCAAGCCCCTGGACTGTGAACCTAAGGGGTTTAATTGACAGGCAGGAGAGCCATGCACTGTTTCTGAACTGGGGACGCCTTGTACAGGGTGGTGTTTCAGGAAGGTCTGTCACTGGTGCATAGGTGAGAAGCAGAGACAGCACAGACAGAAAGTGACAGAAGCTGTTTCTTCGTGGTCACCATGAGAATAAAAATGGGTGGATCCCGCAAAGACAACAAGAGAGGGATCTGCAGCCGTTGGTGACTCATGAAATATGTGAGGCTAAAAAGTTTAAGACCACTACTTGACTAAAATACAGCGATGCCCGCTGAGCTTTTGACAGTCCAGCTCTAGATACTATTTAGACCTTTCCCCCTCATTCCTTATGTGATTGCTCTATTTTTCTTTTGCTTCTCACCAGCCCCATGGCCCCTCTGAGTTCTGCCAGCGCCTTTGTGGTCTATAGTTGCATTCTTGTTTCTTCTTTCTGTTTCCCTTTCTTTACCTTCTCTGATTTTCCCACCATACTTTTTTTTTTCTCCCTTCTCTCTTTTGAAACAAAGGAGTGAAGAAGCTGTTTGGGTTTTGTTTAATAGGGTATTCTTTTTTTCTTCAGTCAGCAGCGCAATACTTAACAACTGTCCTGTTTCTGGTTCTTCAGGTCAGTTCTGGTCATTGTTTATGTTCAGAAAGATCTTCAAAATTTCTAATTCTGTGGTTGTTTCAGCCGTCTCAGGGCTAGGAAGAATGCTGTTGTTTACTGATTATCTCGTGAACATCTAAGGGCAGTTGAAAGATGAAGCAGGGGAAAGTACGGTAGCAAAGTACACTTAAAAAAATCATCTTTAAAAAAAAATCCTGTTCCGATTCAGGAAAACAAAAGCCAGCATGGGTCAACTTTGACGAAAACATGCTCCCACTGGAAAAGGGTGACTTCAAAGTGGAGAAACTTAAAGCAATTTCCTCAACAAAAGGCTTTGGACAGATTTACAAAATTTCTCCATGGAGAAATTTGTATCATGACTAACAGTCATAATTATTACTCATCCTGTAAACTGTTGATCTTACATGAGACATTAGTTCATCAATAATATGAAATACAAGAGCAAACCAGATAACACATTCATCTTCAGAAATAAATATTATCCACTGACATGCTTTCTAGCAAAGAGATCATTTGGTATTTGCTATGTATTCCTTTTGACTTTTAAAACAGGGATATTCACCGGTTACATTCATTGTAAAATGGGAACTTTTAAGAGTCAATTTAAAAAATATTAACTATCCTACAGTCATTAAGATGTCAATGACAAGAAATAGATACAGTAAACTCCACAACAAGCTTTTTTAAAATAAAAGAACCTGTGGTCTGAATTTCCATGGAAGTGAACATGGGGACTTTCACGCTGGGTTCACTCATCCTTGTGGTCCATTTTCGATGGTGGACCATGGGATGTACTATGAAACATCAACCTATTCTAAAAGGGCTCAATACAAGCTCTTCTGTGCAGAAGAGGAAACCGAAGCTAGGATGTTAAGGGACTTGTATGAGGTCAGGGAAGAGTGAAGATCAGATACAAGGTGTATTGAGCAGTCCATTATGTCATCACTTTTTGGGAAACACTCTTAACACATCTTCACTTCCTTTAATAAAGGATGCCTTAAGATAACAGCTTAGTTCACAAAATGTCGATACAACTTTTAGCCTCTACCACCTTTTGCTCTGCATGTGCCTTAAAAGTACCTCATTCTTGCTTTCCGGGTTCTAGTGTGCTAGTAAAGAAAGATGTCTGCATTCATCCCGACCACACCTTTCGTAATTGAAAGATTACAATTCTAGTTCTTCCTAGTCCCCATCTTTTCAGACTGAGAAGTCATTATGGTCTCTCTTTGCTTTTGTACAACTGCGCCTCAACTATCTTCTTCCCTTGCCAACCATCCCTCTCTTGATTATTTTGATTGTTTCCTTGGACCCAACCATCTCCATGACACTTTAATGAGACACAGTGTCAGTGGCCATAAAGGATGTAGAGTTCAGGACTGGATGACTCTCTGCAACAAGTGGAGTATTACATACTGCTTTGTCTAATGTCCTACTTGGTGGCACCCAACAAGTTACCAGTGTTTTGAATAAGGATAGCAACTGAGTGGGTCAATCAGTAACTTAGGTCTCAGATCTTTAGTAAGCATCTTCTGTGTGACATACATTGTTTGAGATGTAGCAATAAACACGAAAGACCAAATCTGTGATCTCAAGAATGTTCTTCCTACTAGAAGTACAAATAAGACAACAGACACATAAATTAATAGGTAAGATAATTTTACATATTGATAAAAATAAGTGAAGAATATGAAACAAGGCAATGAGATAGGGAGTGACTCCAGGAGCTGGGGGCAGTGGAAGGTATGTTCAATGACTTCTGAGAAATGAAGACAGTGATTTTTTGGGTTGCACAGTTTGGATTTGTTTCCATATAGTTACTCTGATGCTAAATGACCTGCTACTTTTCTGGCCAGTCACAGGTCTGGTGTGATTATTTCCCCTTGTGATTATTTCAACCTGGGATTTTATAATCCAGAAGGTTTTATAGACTAAGGTAAGTTGTTATCTTCAATAAAACAGTTCTAATCTTACAACAGGGATTCCCAGGTGTTGGCAGTGTTAAAGAACCTGCCTGCCAATGCAGGAGACACAAGAGATGTGGGTTCAATCCCTGGGTTGGGAAGATCCCCTGCAAGAGGGCCTGGCAACCCACTCCAGTATTCTCGCCTGCAGAATCCCATGGACGGAAGAGCCTGGTGGGCTACAGACCACGGGGTCTTAAAGAGTCAAAAACGACTGAAGTGACTCAGACCACGCACATAATTTCACAACTCAATCCTGGTACGTGTTGGCCATTCTTTCTGTGGAGCTCAACTATTAATTCTTATTTTTCCAGGTGGTTCTTTTTATACTATTTGTATAGATGGGGTTTTTAGTCAGTGATAGCCTGGGAGGTAAGTGCTTCTTGCATAGAGGTGAAGTTTTGAACTTTCAGGAGACCCCAACCCAAGACAGCTCCTACTATAATAGAGTAGCAACGAGAGTAATAGTCTGACGGACCCCTGCTGTAGCCATACACAGATACCACTGGGAAATAGACTCAGGCAGCCTAGAAACCAAGTTCAGCTTCGAATATTTCTAGGCTCATACACGCGTAGGTAATCTCAGTTGCCTTTATTTAACCAACTCTCTGTATTGGAAAAATTGACATTAATTTGAAAATGTTGTAAGAGAATAAATCTATTTTTTTTCCCCCTCAGAAAGTCCAAAAAATTTGCCCTGTTTCTGTTTTGTGTCTACTTTTATAGAAGGATGTTAATCCAAAGCGGGGAAGTGACCACTCCTGGGGAAGCCAAGTGGGCAGGGCTTGCCACCTCATTTTACATACAGCTGCTCAGCTTTATACACTGGAATTTCACATGAAATTTCATGTGGAGAGAAAAAAGTCTCCTCTGCTGACAGTGTTTTCAAACCATCAACAAAATGCACTGTGAACCTGACCCACCCGTGGAGACGTCACAAGCTTAGAAAAGAAACAAGAATGCACAGAACTATTTTCTAGATGCTCCTGCCACGACACGAATTCTAGGAAAAGCAAGCCCTCTTAGAAGACCAGCCATCGCAGGCTGCTGTCACAGGATCAGCAGGCATGTGCACGGCTGCCGTGGCACCTTCGTGGGTTCCAGCCTCAGCCAGGACCTGGGTGCCTCGCCCTCCCCACTCTCACTTCCCCCTAGTCCAGGGCCTTCTAATTTTGTCTGTGCCACAGCTTCTTTTGCAGCCTGGATCTCTTCTTAGGATCATGGTTTTTGGAATGTAAAATACAAAATAGGATCACGAAGAAACCCAATTGTTTTAAAGTACATTTCTAGCCATTGACCTGCAGAGGAGTCAGTGGACTCCAGGTTAACAAATACTTTTGGGGCCTGTTATACTCATTTTGAGAGGATTCTCATGGCTGCATTTCCCATTCTGCCCGCTTGGATTCCAGTCCTGTCTTTTGAATGGCCTATTAGGAATCTGCCACAGGAACCTAAAATGCAACATGATTTAAACTGACCTCTGCCTTTGCCCACCCAAATCTACTTCTGCTCCACTGATCCTTCATCAATTCATCCACCTCACAATCTTCCCAGGTGAGGATTCCTAGGGTCATCTATGACTCCTGATTTTCTCCTTCACTTCTTACCCCAACCAACAGCTGGGTCCTCCTGACATCATCACTGCACTGCCTCATGGATCTACCTTCTCCTTTCACACCACTGCACTAAGAGCTTCACTAACCTCACCCTTTCTTACTGGGATTCTTGCATTATTCTTCTGACTCACTGCTGCCCAGACAGTCTCTTCAGGGTCTATGTAGAGAAGGCAGAGGCATCCTTCTAAATCTAAACTGGCCTGGTCCTTCCCGTTTCCAATTTCAAAGCACAATTCTGTAGGCTCCAGTCATAGCACCCTAGAGCCTGGGCCTGCCTTCCTGTCCTCCTTCAAGAGTCCCTCTGGGTGCGCCTGAGCCTCACTTTTCTCTGAACATACACTAACTGTTCCTAAGCCAGGGGAACCCTTTTCTTCTCTGCGGCACACTCAACCACTGAAAGACATGCACAACTTTCATGACCTTGAAGAAGCTTTCTTCTTGTGGCTTCTTCAGAATCTAGGGTTCTCTCTCCTTGGCATTATCCTATGTTTTTGTGGCTGTTTTACTTTCAGAATTACAAAAACAATAATTTGCATTATAACAATTTAAGGAGACTATTTTCTTTCCTTCTTGGTGCATCCTTTGTGAGGAATAGAGTGCTGCCTTTCCATTTGTATGGCTCTGCACTGCACGGTGGCTGAGTCTTCTGCTCAACTGCATGAGGCCAGCGGCTGATCCTCCTAGACAGCAAGCCTTATGTTTTCATCTCAACTGCCTGACCCCCGAGTTATTCAATAAATGATAGACTCTCAAATTCAAAGAGAAATTTTAAATGCTCAACCTCATATAAAACTTGGTGGAAACATGACCCTAAAATCATATATTCCTTCTTTCGTCTCTAAAAAGAAGTACCATGGACCCTCGAACGAGTTACTAAGGAAGCTGGTCAAAGAGCGTGATTGCCTGAACTTTTCTCAACAGCCTGGCTTCTTGTTGGAACAAGTGCAAGTTTTAAACAACCGAGTTACCTTTGATTTCAGGATAGTAGAGGAAAGGTTTTGGTTCGCTAGTTTCCAAATCAGATTTCCTCCGAAGCTGGACGAACACAGAGGCTGGTTTTGTAATGTTGACATCTTTATACTTTGGAGTTTTGAAGACAATGGCAAACTGCAGGATACAAAGATCCAAATGTTGGAGTAGGACTACATTTCTTTTACAGCAGTGGTACTCATTAAATACATTCTTTATGCCCAATGCTTAGACACAGTGTATTAAAAAAATACAATGCCCTAGAGAAAGTTACAACCTTGGAATTCTATACCCATGTATTTTTATTCTATTGCCAATGTGAAATTAAAATATAAGATTATGCCAATGTACTGCAAATCCTCATCAGTTCACTCGTCTAAAGTTTCAAATATCTTTCAGTGTAAATAACCATGTGAATAAAATACATTGCATACATCCACTTTCCCAAATTAGCCTTAAAAGCCTCCAGGATTATTTACTGCAATATCATAAAGATATAATGGAAAGAGAGAGAAGAGGATGGTTGGTACCATTGCAGGCCTCCTGGCCAGCCAACAACCACAGCAAAAAGCTAAACCCTTAAGGGAGACACAGTGACAGGGTCAGCATACTGTGAGGGGAGGATGGCCAAGGCTCTAGACATACACAGGCATCTGTAATGCCTCTAAGACAGCCTCCTTGGTGTCTGCTAGTATAAGAATAAGCAGATTTTGTTTTTTTTTTTATTTCACCCACAAAATTAATGTTTAATCTAACAGTTATCCACAGAACCTTCCAGAGTTTCTTTATGCTATGTAAACATGAACACAGAATCTTTTTTATATACACTTTGTTTCATATCTATCTTTTAAAAAATTTCAGTGTTGTATCTTTGAGATCTTTCCTTGTTAGTCTGTATTCATTCTTTTTTTAATAATTGTACAATATCCCCTCACATTTACTTAACTGACCACTAACTGATGGACATTTGGATTGTTTCCATTTTGTGTGTGTGTGAAAATTGTATTCCTCAATCACTGAGAGTAATTGTTAAGATGAAGATTCAGCATTTTCATCTCTTTGTCATATACTTAATTATTCCTGGGAGATCTTGATTTATCATGATATCAGCCTCAACTAGAAGAATCCTCCTGTCAACACTTTTCATTAGAATACCCTTTTAACAGGTCTCCTCGTGTTACTCTGGGAGAATACCATTACAGACTAATTGTGTTTCCCCCAAAGTCGTATGGTGAAGCCCCCGTAGTGTGGCTGTATTTGGAGATAGGGCCTTTATGGAAATAAGTAAGGTTAAATGACATCATAAGGGTAAGGCCCTGATTGGACAGGATTAGTGGTCTTAAAAGAAGAGGCGCCAAAAAAGGGAAAAATAAAAAGAAAAGACACCAGAGAGCTTCTTCTCTCTCTGCCATGTTAGGACATAACAAGAAGGTGGCTGTCTGCCAACTAGGGAGAGAGCCCTCATCAGGAACCAACCCTGTCAGACCTTGATCTGGGACTTATAGGCTCCAGAACCATAAGCAAAAGACTGCTTTTCTTTTATTCACTCAGTCTATCATATTTTGTTATCAGTCTGAACAGACGAGTGAAATATGCAACACATTTCTACTTACGGGTTTGAGGGTCACTGGCTTACATCTAGGTGATCACATACCTGACAGAGCTTTGCCCATAATTCTATGGTAGGTAACTTTTCTGGAACACTTCCAAGACACAGTGCTCTTTGATGAAAGTTACATAAATATTTATCATTTTTTCTTTTTTTATACTTGGAATCTAAGTACTGAATTTCAACAAGGCAGAAAACATAGTATCATCTTCCTTACCATCCACTTACTTATCGTCCTTATCATCACCCACTTACTTGTCTATGAACATCCGTGGGGGAAAAATCTCCAAATCCTTCCCAAATTCCACCATTTTCCTCCTCTTCGTAAAATCGAATCTGGATGTCATCTGTAAACAGTCATGTTCAGGTGTATAATTTCACACAGTATAATAACATTCATAAATGTGATGAAAAATAAAGCTGGTTCAAGAGTCCACCTGCTATGTACTTAACCTTTTATGAAAGTAATTCATATAAAATAGACTTCTGAATTACTTAAAATTTTTAGTAAAATTTTTTTGTTACCATAGTAATGGGCCCCAAATTTCGTTTATAAGGACAGAATTCTAGATTTACCTATTCAATCTGAGTTTTCTCTTAATCAATCTTTGAATAACTTCTCCATCCCTAAGCCAGTTCACCCTCCAGGAACACGAAAGATAGTGAAGAATATCAGAATTCCAAAAGGTGGTTCACCTTGATACAGATTTACGTAATAAAATTTAACTTAAAGTTTACTATTTGGCAGACACTGTTCTAAGTGATTTTATATGCATATATTAACTGATTCCTTCTTCAACTCTGTGATGCAAGTGTACTATTAATATCCTCATGCTGCAGAAGAGAAACTGGAGTTCACAGAGGTTAAGTGACTTATCTAAGGTTGAACAGCTAGTCAGGAGAGACCAGGATTTGAACATGGACACTGAAGGTTCAGACCCCAGGCTCTTAAACATCCTCCTATGCTACCTCTCTACAATGCTCAAGTAGTTCCTGTTGAGAAACCGCTAAAATTACATGTTGGTCTAGTCCCTTTGGGTTAAATTAGAATGTCTTAATTTCACACTTCAGTCATGGATTCTACTCCTGCAGAAATATGACAATATAACACAGGTTGGCATCTCCCTGGCTTCACTTCCTAATTCACAGGGAGGAGTACACTATTGACTTGCAAAAACTAAATGTATATTTCTATTTAAATAGAATTTTAGAAATATTAGGGTTGGGTAAGACATTCATAGGACTACCCTGGCCCTAGTTATTCAGATTCTTTAAACTAGGTATCAAACTTCTCTTAATTAGCCATTTTAATGTAATGATGATGACTAAGAGTCACATTTACAAATAAAGGTACTTAGATTGTGTTTACTCATTGTATGCACACCCAGGAATCCGGAAATGCACATTGCTTGGATAGAACTGGTTAAAAGAAAGCTGATACCAGAATCTGCAGAGAAAGTGTAAACATTCTGGGGACAAAGATATACACCTTTACCTTAAAATCTGATCTCATTTTTCTGACTTTTTATCTGAGAGCATTCAGCCTCAAAGGAAAATTTTCTTTTTTTAAAGCCATAGTTCTTTAAATAGGAGGTACATTTCCAGTTATACAGCTGCTTGCTCTGAAAATGCTCATCAGAGTAAGCATCTAGGTAACTGCTTGTAGTGAGTGTATCTTTATTATGGTATACCTTTTATGGTTTTATTTTTAAAATGAGTAAAGCTTGAGAAAATAACAATCTCCTGCTTATCCTAACTTATCACTCTTGTGCTATATTTAGTGAGAGATAAATGCCAAGACCTTTTCTGAAAGTGAAAATTATAAGAGAAATATGCTCTGAGAATTTCCTTATAGCCCTTATCCTTTCTTTTTCTTAAATGACATCATAATGTCATGTGAAGATATCCAGAGAAACTCTCAGTGTTGCAACAAAGCACTGTCAGGGAAAAAAATTAACAATTTTACACTATGTAAAACATTTATCATGCGTGTATGTGTAAGTGAAGCATGGGCTATTACTCATTTATTTAAAGTTCACATATCAAAGTTTAAAGCATAAAACACTGAAATATCACTGATTACAATGATCACTATTTTCTTATTTCTCTTTACAATGTGGGAGACCTGGGTTCGATCCCTGGGTTGGGAAGATCCCCTGGAGAAGGGAAAGGCCACCCACTCCAATATTCTGGCCTGGAGAATTCCACGGACTGTTTAGTCCAGGGGGTCGCAAAGAGTTGGACACGACTGAGTGACCTTGACTTTCACTTCACTTCTGTTGAAAATTTTAAATGAATTAGTTGGGTTAAGAAATAACATGGACAATTTAATTTTGGAAGAGATGAAATGTATAAATTTTTAAAAGGAGTTCTACGCCAGAGGAGAGATGTTACTGGGCTCATTGCCAAAAAGTGACTCATAAACACACTCAGAATTACATTTCACATCTTGAGATCAGAGCATGTATTTACCTTTCTGAACCTTGTCACAGAGAAGATAAATCTCTTCCCCTCCAGTTACACATCCAGCTGTCCTGTCCATTCTTACTATTTTCAAGTTAGATGCATTGGGGGCTTCTGTTCACAGGAGAAAAACAACAAACATCATGATTTATCGTCAGCTTCACATGCTAACCTTCTGTGAGGGACCTTAACCAAAGCATACTTAACCAAAAGGAAGTTCAAATAGATGCTTTCACTCATATTGCTATTACAAAAATATGGATAAAAAGTGCCTTCTGAAATCCTCACAACACTGCTTGGGCATGGCTCATTCATTATCCCCAAAATAGATGAGGCAGAAAGGAGCAGTATTCATTTCTCCCACGAACACAGTAAGAGACATTAATAGAGAAAGAGAAAGAACTTTTCTGATGTTTCAGGAAGTTCCAAGCTAAAGGATGTGTGTAATTTCAATTAGGTCAAGACTTCAACCCCAAACTTACATCCATGGTACTGATACACCATTTACAAGAATCCTAGAAATTTAGGAAAAGTACAGTATTCTGAAACTATTAATTTTTATTCTATAGAAAAGAAAAATGAAGATATTATATTTCCTTTTCCCAACTAAATTAGAATTCTGTGTGGTTAAGAGGTAAAGTTTTGTGTGGTAATAGTATAAAAGCTTCCTTTTTTTTTTGTTCTAACAGCTGCATTTTAAAGTGATCTTTGGTATAGGAGCCTAAAACATTTTATAAAGCTTTCACTTCCCTTTAAACCTGTTTAAATTAGAGAAATCAGTTAGTTGTTGTACTTGGGGCATGGAGTTTTCTACTTAGACTAAACTCAATGACCTTTTAATGAGCTTTAATACTGCCCTTACAGACAGTTTGGAAATATCTATCTGTTTAATAAAGCCCATGCATACCAAATAAGAAATCTGCATGGTAAATGCCAAAGACCACTGTAAAACTCTTTTCAAAAACTCCAGGAACTACAGATGGAAATAGAATTTTGAAGCCACAAAATATCAAAGTATCTGTACTGCTCATTTAGTTAACCTGAAGTTCCTAAATGGATAAAGCTGTAACATGCAAGAATGAAAATGGGTAAGTATAAGAGTTATCTTTTATTAACTTCTCTTCAGAGCCCCAACTATTTTTCCCATCTAAGAGCACCAGCAATATAGCCTCATAGTAAAGAATTCATAAATAATAAGAAATTTGGCACTGCATGTAAAAGGCTATAACAAACATGAGGAAGGAGATTTATTGAGCGCCTCACCATATTTCACTTTTAATCTTGACATCAACTTTTTAAGCTAGACTTCAGTATTCCTATTTTGCAGATGATAAACATGAGGCTCCAAGGGATTAAGTTACTTTCCCCAGGAACGAGAGCTAGTCAGTAACTGCCAGGGTGGGGATGGAAGTCTGTTCCTGACTTTGCAGCAAGCTGCCTCAGGTCAGCAGTCAAGTACTCACTGCTGTCATAGATGGCGTCCGACACCACGGGTTCCAGACGCCTCGTGAAGCTGCCGGTACTGTCTGGAAGGAAAGCTGTAAACATGAGCCGTACCACGCTGAGGTCCATCTCCTTCGTCTGCTGAAGAGCTGCCTGCCGGATGATTTCTTTTTCCCGATCTAGGACCAGACAACACAAGGTGTTCATGTCCAGGGAAAGGCGAAAGTATGAACATTTTAGATCAAGTGCTTTTATAAAGCCCCAATTAAGCACATCAACTTAAGGTAAAAGTCATTTTTCTCTTTTGAAATTCTTCATATTGCTAATAAAATTTTAAGAATTATCTACGTCATCCCAACACAAAGGCATCAGAAGAAGGCATGCATTGTTTTTGGATCACAGTGAAAACTATCCTGTATGTGACAAATGGCCTCATTCCTTTCCTATCATCCCCTGACCTCTCCCAAGACACAAAGGGTGTGATGGAAATGGAAGGGAGTAGCTGACTATGCCTCAGTTGTGTTGAGGAATGTGAAAATTAAATATTCCAGCAGTGATAAATATATATTCACTATCATGTGTAAAACAGACAGTGGGACGTCGCTAAATAACACAGGGAGCCCAGTCTGGTACTGTGACCATCTAGAGGGGTGAGGATGGAGGCAGGGGAGACAGGCTCAGGACGGAGGGGATATGTATGTAATGATTTGCACTGGTGTACGGCAGAAACCAACACAAAACTGTAAAGCAATTTTCCACCAATTAGAAAATAAATTTAAACATTTTAAAGGAAATTAAATATCCCCAAAGCTCCATTCATCCCGTAGTGCCCAGCACAGTACCTGGCGCATAGCAAGCAGGACTCAAAAACTGCAGTTAAGGAGCCAAATAACTCAACTGCATTTGGCTCCTGTCCCCGTGACGGAGCTTTCTTATTGATGGATGTGACTGTACTTAACTTATAAAATCATAAGAGCTGATAGTTCAAGTGAAGAATATTACAAAAGAGCTACAGGTGAAGTGATACAAAACCTCAAAGGATGGGAGAATCCAGAGCCTTTGGAGCAGAAGAGACTCTGCCCTGAATCCTGAAAGGACGGCAGAGCCTGAGCTCAGGAAGAGAATGAATAAAGACATGCCAGGAAGAGAAAGGCTGTGCCAAGGAGTGGAAGAGAGAAACCATGGTGCTTGTATGGAGCGGTTCAGTTTGACAAGAAGGGGTGTTGTGGGAGACAGTTGGAAATGCAGACTGGGGTCAGCTCTCAGGATGCCTAAAATGCCAGGGTCTGAAATTTGGATTTTGTAGGCAACAGGGAGACCTTGAATAGTGGTGATGTGCAGGCTGTAGTAAGGTCAATCTGGTCAGGGGACATAAACCAGATTAGAAGTAGCGAGGGACACAGACAGCAACAAAAAATTGGCATGAAGAATGGAACCCCACAGAGCACAGAAGAGCTGGATCACAAACTAGATGGAGAGGCAGCAAAGCTGAGAAGGGGGGTCTCAAAGATGACGTGAAGGTTTCGAGGATGAATATCAGAAGATAGAACATGTTTATGGGAAAATGATGACTGCTTTTGGAGCACCTGAGTGTGAACTGGTGGCAGGATGGCTAGACGAAAGGACAACACAGAAAAGCAAAAATGGCACGTGTTGTGGGACAAACATTGGGGTTGAAAGACAAAACACAAGGCAGGAAAATATAATATAGCATTTTTTTATGATAAAGAGGATAGCTGAATAATGTGTCTGAGAGCCCAAAGAAAGGAAGATTCCTTATGACAAAGTGAGCTGGAGGAGTTATAACAAAGGAGGTGTTCTTTGAATCTTGAATTCTGAACTGGTTTTGACAGGTTGAAGAGAGAAGGTGGTATTTTAGGTAGAGGCAGGAGTGCATCAGTGTTTGAGGGGGTGATGGGAAGAGGTGGGTACCAGGTGGAACCTGAGATAAAGCTGGAAAGGGGGCTGGAGTTAGACTTCGTATGCTCGGCTACGGCAGTACAGAGGTTGTTCTAGAAGTAGCAAGATGCCATCAGAGGCTTCTGAGCAGTTACAGGGCGGGAGCAGCCTGGGGCACAGATGGAGGGTGAGATGAGCTCCAGGTCTGCACACAGGGGAAGGAGGACCAGAGCGCTCACGGGACCGCGGCTGGGAGGGACACTCACCTGTGAGCTGCCGATCTCCTCCGCCTTCTGCCTGCAGATAGGCAAGATCAGGGTGCACCAAAAGCCCGGGATTGTAGCCCCTTATACAGGCATCTGTCATTCGTGCTTCCAGTGTTTCAAACACTTTTTTCTTTGTCACATGAAGTATACCCAGGTTTGCAAAGCTGGAGGAAAAACAGTAACGGCAACAACCGAAAGTTAGGCAGACAGAGGCTGGAGTCCTGTTTTACTCTAACAGAGAGGATGGAGAAAACACACACAGACCCTCAGTCATACTGCTATCACCAGCTGCAGGTCAGGTCAGGCTGGGCTTTGCCACCAAATCAGTCTGTGGTGAACTTAGAAAAATCTTCTGGTTTTCAAAGCTTATTAGACTTGCAAATTATGATTCAGGGACTGGGGTAGACATACCTTAATAAGAAAGTTTCACCTAAACTCATTTTAAAGTATTTTCTAGGAGAGTTGTATAAAAGGAAATTTAAATTTCAGATATACTAACTTAACAAACTTTTAAAAAATAATACATGAAATGCTATATTTGGAAGATTATTTTTTCCTTGTGGATCGTCCTTGGGCCTTGATGGGATTTAAAGTCTACCTAGAACCCCATCTCCTGGGCTATCTCTAAGGTTGAATTATTTATGATCACCAGAATGTCTACTCTCCACATGCACTCAGTCTTGAGGTTCACCTTTAATCAGGGAAGGAGAACCTTTTATATGGCAAAGGCTACATATCTATAGAACAAAATATGCTCATTAAAGCAATTCAAGGAATTTTTAAGAAAATATATGAAGTGCTCCAGCAATTCACTTTTTAAAATAAAGTACGTGAAACAAAGAAGTGTGTTCAATAAATCTAATATAACAAATAGGAAAAAAAAAAAAAGTGTACCAAGGAGACTCATTCAAATTCAACAAATATTTATTTTGCTCTGTAGTGCCAGGCAGTGTCCTGGGTGCTTCTGTCAACAGTAGAGGAATCCCTAACTTCACAGAGTTCATATGCTACTGTAACAACAGAGAGAAAACAAGTGCAACAACAAAGAGAAAAGAAACAAGTAAGTTTTATAATTTAAAAGGTAAAAAGTGTTACCAAGAAAAACAAAGGAATGGGAAATGGGAAGGGCAGAAGTAGAAGGCCTGACACTTAAAAATTTGGAGACAGGACATGCCTGGTGGTCTGGTGGCCAGAACCCTTTGAGTTCCCAGTGCAGGGGCTCAGGTTCTATCCCTAGTCGGGGAACTAGATCCCACATGCCTAACTAAGAGTTCACATGCTGTGACTAAGACTGGACACAGCAAAACAGATATTTCTAAAAATAAAATAAATTTCTAAAAATTAAAAAATATTTTTTTAAATAGAGAGAGGCCAGAAAGGGCCTCACTGAAAAGATGTCAACTGAGCCAAGACTTGGAAGGAAATGAGGGTTGGGACGTGGATATGTAGAAAAAGCATGTCTAAGATGGAAGGAACAGCAAGTGCAGAGACCCTGAAGTAGGACCATGGCTGGTGTCCACAAGACAACAATGGCAAGGAGGCCACTGTGGTTGGAGTGAGACAAGCAAGACTCATCATCATGTGCAGCTGTATGTAAGTTCAGAGAAATAAGCGGGACACAGATCTTTTAAAGTCTTGTAAGCTTCCGTAAGGACCCTTTTTTTCCTCTGGATTTTACTTGGAAGGGAAAAAAAATATTAGTAGAGGAAAGACAGAAATATTATGACAACTGGATCAAATGAAATAAAGAATAAGATAATGTTGGAAGGCCAGATAAACTAGACAAAGAAAATATATGAGGTAAAGGCAGAATGAGATGAGCACTCAGATAGAGGCTCAGAGATGAAATGAGACGGGGGTCCACACAGTGATGAAAAAATGTAGGACGGCTGAGACACACAGCAAAAAGGAAATACAAAATATAACCTCCTGGAGAGCAGAGAGATCTGGTGCCAAGAACAGCGCTTGACACTGGGTGTTTAAGAAATGTCTGTTGGATGAGTAAATGCAGGAATTAAATCAGCACAGAAAAATATGCACTATGGCAAAATGATAAGTGTGGAGGAACAGTCGGATTTTCAGAAAGAGCACCTCCATATTCTGGCCTGTTAGTCCTTCCTACTATACAGGACATCTGTAACTATGGGAAAACAAGGCTAATGCCAAGGTAACAGCATTGACAAACATGGGGTTGCACTTCACACTTCACCATCCATAAAGGGCTTTTCATGTATATTATTTAATTTAACCCCTGTGAAAAAGACATCATTATCATCACATGAAGTGTCAGTCACTCAAGTCGTGTCCGACCATTTGCGACCCCATGGACTGTAGCCAGCCAGGCTCCTCTGTCTATGGAATTTTCTAGGCAAGAGTACTGGAGTGGGTTGCCATTTCCTTCTCCAGGATTATTACATGAATAATGGATTTACTCTGGCAACAAATGAAACAATACAGAAGTCAGTCTTCTGCTTTAGGTAATAGTAGAGCAATGAAGACCATGTAAGCTTCTCACTTTAAACAACAAAAAGCAGTTTTCGTACCCTGGACAATAGATGGCTTAGGACAGTGAACCTAGAGGAAAGGAAGACCCACACGGTGAGTCTTAAAATTATGCTTCACTGATATCGAGAGAGAGCTTCCTGGCCACAGCGTAGGGAGAGGCAGCTGAAACACAGCCTGCTGCTCTCCCTGAGTTGGGGAGACAGAGGAGACCAACAAGGACAGAATTCACAGGCAGACACCAGTGAGGAGAGTCCCACGCAGAGGGACACTCGGAGCATGAGTGTGGGGAGATGACCCACAGCTGGGAAAAGAAGCATCAGAAGCACGGATAGAGCTGCTCCTGGAGCACACACGGGGCTAGGATAATGCAAGGAATCTTGTGAAACATGAAGGATTTGCGTGGACACTTAGAAAGACATGGCCTTAGTAATGGTTTCAAGTTAACCCTAGATTAAAGTCTGCTCTGGCCTCCCTAAAAAAGCTTAGGAAAGGCCAAACTAGTCTCAAATTTAACTTTATCCCAATGCTCAAAAATATTTGCAATATTCCCCCCAAAAGCCTGTAGAGATGGAAATTACAATGTTTGGGAAGAAAAATACACTAGATGAAATCAAGAACAAATTAGACACTGTAGACAAAATGTTTAGTGAACTTGAGGACACAGTAATAGAACTATCTGAAATGAAACAGAGAAAAGTGAAAAAGAACAGATCATTCATGAGCTGTGGGACAATTTTAAATGGCCAAATATGCTGATACATGAGATTAATGTTCTAGAAGAGAAAAAAAAGGAGTGTACGGAAAAAGTATTTAAAAAATAATGGCTGAAAAGTTTTAAAATTCAATAAAAGTAGAAACTCAGAGACTCAAGAATCTCAATAAATCACAAAGAACAAGAAACATGAAAAATATGACACTAAGGCTTAACATAATCAAATTGCTGAAAACTAGCAATGAAGAGAAAAAGTAAAAAGCTGACAGAGAAAACACGTGACACATTATGTACAGAGGAATAAAGATGCAAGAATGACGGGACACTGTTTTTGGAAACAATGAAAGCCAGAAGACAATGAAGTAGTCTATTTTAAGGACATGCAAGAACACCCTATGATTCTACACTCCTCAGAAATATCTTTGAAAAACAAAGACAAAATAAAGACTGTAAGATGTACAAATTGAAAGAATTTAGCAGTGCACCAGTAGTTAAAAAAAAAAAAAAACAAAAGAAACTCAATACAAGGCTAAGTATAAAATATTTTTTCTTATTTAAAAATTTCTTTATGACTGATAATTTAAAGCAAAAATAAAAAAAATTATATGGTGAGATTTATATTAATAACATATGCAGATATAAAATATATGACATAATAGCTAGAAGTCCAAAAAAGGGAAAATGAAAGTATACTGTTAACATGCTCCAAGTAAAGAGGTATAGTGCTATTTGAAGGTAGACTAGGTTAAGTTAAAGATGTATAGTATAAACATAAAAAGATTGCTAAAAAATACAAAGAGGTATAAACCTAAAAGGAGATAAATGAAATAACAAATAATCAAGTAATCTAAGAGGCAGAAAAAGAGGAAAAGAGGAACAAAGAAAAGATGTGACAAGCAGAAAACAAACAGCAAGATGGCAGATTTAAACACAGCCATATCAATAATCATATAAAAATAAAAATCACTTAACACCCACTAAAAGACAGAGAGTGTAAGACTGAATAAAAAGATCCAACTATATGTAGTACAAATTTATTTTTAATATAAAGACACAAAAACACTAAACTAAGCAGATGAGAAAAACATTTTAAGCTAACATTATTCAAAAGAAAGCTGACGTAACTATGTTAGTCTCAGTCAATGCAGATTTCAGAGCAAAGAATATTACCAGGAATAAAAAAGGTCATTTCATAATGATAAAGGGATCAATTCATAAGAGGACATAAGAATCCTAAACATTAATGCATCGAATAAAAGAGCTTCACAACATAAGAAGCATGATCTTAAAGAACTGAAAAGAGAAATAGATGCATCTATGAATATAGTCAGAGATTTCAATACTCTTAATAATTGATAGAACAGTAGAGAGAAAATTAGTAAGGAGACAAAAGTCTTGAACAAACAACCTCATTGATATTTACAGAACATGCATTCAATTTGATCACGCTAAACACTCTTTTTAAGTGCACAAGGAACACATATACCAAGAGAGACCATATTCCATCCATAAAGCAAGCTTCAACACATGTAAAAGGAGTCAACTCATACCAAATACTTCCTTACCACAGTGGAACTAAATCAGATATTACCTAGGTAAGAATGTAGTTAAATCAAGACTGGCCACGTAACAATTAATCGTTGAAGGTGAGTGATAGGTACAATGAAGGCTCATCATGCTAGTCTTTCTACTTTTGCATATGTTTGAAAATTTCTATAATAAAATGCAAAACAAAAATGAGAGCAGACATTATTATTATTAGCACATGAAACAGGAAAAACTGAGAGGATCATAAAAGTTAACAAATGAGAACACAAAAGGGTACAGTCACTTTGGAAAGCAATTTGGCAGTTTCTTACCAAGATGAATGAACTCTTAGCACAAGTCCCTACAATTCCGTTCCTCAATATTTACCCAAACCAAGAAAAATTACAACTCTGTTCACAC